CAGGCAGAGACTTTATTTAGGTTTATTTTGGACTCGCAGCCAGTTTGAACCCGTCCATCCCTCCCTTCCTTCTCCTCCTCCATCCTCCTTCTCACCTCCATCCATCCATCCCTTCTCCTCTACTACCTCCTCCTCCTCCTCCTCCTCTTCCTCCTCCTCCTTCTTTCCTCAGCCCAAGATGGAGAACTTTCTGGAGGGAGTAGAACTGGGCTAATCCGCCCAAAGTCTTATTTGTCTGTACAGAGGAGAGTTTTTGAGGGGGCCCGCTCCCCATTTTTCACCATGAGTGCCAAGTTATGTACCATTTCTGTCTCTCTCTATATATGTCTTTAAAAACAAAAACAGAAATTCTGGAGTTTTTGCTTTGAAATGAAACGTAGGGTCAGGATGGTGATCTTGAACAGTTTGTCTCCAAGGGAGATGGTGGTTGAAGATGGAGGAGATTCAGAAAAGGATGAGAAAGAAAAGATTGATTGGGGGGGGGGAAAGGAGCGGTGGGGATAATGCCTCCATCCTTTAATGTTTGCAGAAATTGAAAAGGTCCTGGAAGCTTAAAGATGGTGGACGATTTATCTTCTGACGTGGATTCGTTAAGAATCCTGAAAGCTTTTCAGAAGCTGAAAAAATGGGGATGTTTTCAGCTCACTTTTCACTGCAATAAAATGAGTGACAGACTTGACAGTGAAGATCATCCTTGACTTACAACAGTTCATTTAATGACTGTTTGAAGTTACAACAGCACTGAAAAAATGCGACTTACGACCATTTTTCACACTTATGACCGTTGCAGCAGCCCCCGTGAAGAGGTGGCAGTGTTGTTGTTGTTGTTGGTGGTGGTGGTGAGGGGAGAAGAGGAGGAGGATAACCACAATTGTGAAGTCCTTGGTGCTCTTTGAGGATTCTGGTTTCCTTGCAGACATTTCGTGCCCCAACTAAGTAACATCATCAGTGCTAGAAGGGGAGTGGGGTTAGCTCTCTTTTTATCCATTCATGGGTGTAGACTGGCTAGAGATGGCCAATTCCAGAGTAGAGCAGGGCCGCCACCAGATTCTGGTTATGGAGAGAGAAACGGAGGTACTATGGCGACGGACGTACAGAGAGGGAGACGGATCTTTTGTCCCTGGGTGAGTCCTAATCCTGGATTTGGCCCATTCTCACGCTTAACTGTGTTTGACTGTTAGAATGTCAGGCGGCTGGAGAAGGAGAAACACATTCCCCCCTCCTCTAATTAGGATGTTGTTTTTCCATGGTCTTATGTAGCGCACCTGGGCTTTTATTTCCCCATATCAGAACCTGTGTCGGTTTCTCCCTCACCCCCATCCCTTCTTTGAGGATACCCTCCTCCCCCCAAAAAACAGCACGGAGAAGGATTATAAACGGGTCGAAGGGAAGAGAATTAGACAGCCCCTTCCCCTTCGCCCGGTACCCGAGCCACAACGGGCGTCCTCCTCCTGAAGCTGCTTCTCATTAGGGAAATAAAAGTTGGAGGGAACTGCGTGGACCGTGTCATTTGGCCCTAAGGAAATGGGACATTGTTTTGTTTCTTACATCTGTTTCTCTAAAGGGTTTTGGAAGATGTACAAGGCTGTTTGGATAAATAGGCTGGTGCTTTGGATTGTAACGGAGAGAGAGGGGGAGCGGAGTAACTTTGGTGGAGAGGGTAGAACTGGACATTTAAGAAGAAATCCTGCCTCTCTCTCACCCCCTTTTCCTTAATATATAAACTCTTTTTTTCAGGTGAGGGAGGGCAGGTAGTCCTGGGACGTATGACCACCTGAACTCAACACATTTCTGTTTGCTAAGCGCGAGAGTTGTTCAGTGACTCCCCCCCCCACCTTTCTTGCCATCGTTGTTAAACAAAGCACTGCATTTGTTCACTGAACCTG